TATATATATATATATATATATATATATAATCGAATTATAATTATTACTGCATATATATTCATCTTCTTCAGATCGCTGTTTGTCGGTTATTTGTAACACTTATCGTAAACTCGGTAAATAATCGAGGAATTAATTTTTAATTTTAAATAAACATTATGAAAAGCTTACGTACGCTCGTTTTTTATACTCGGTCGCCGTGAAAAGATGATTACGACTTTGGGTTTCCGTGCCGGCAACAACTCTTGTCTTTCATCGTTTGTATCAATTAATATCTGAGCGTAGGTTGCTAAGAGTTGCAACAACATCAGCATAATCCATATCATTATAAGAAACCAGTCTGGAAGCAGGGAAAACGCTGTTAACATTGAGCGTAACTTCTATAAGAGGGTAAAGTAACGCAGACGTACCGAAGAACCGAATAGGCGGATACACGAAGGCCAAACGAAAGCCAGATATGGTGATCCTCCTGACGATGGTGATGACAATGTATTTCAAGTTAGTGCCAACGTAATAATCAATCGGAATGACCAGGAAGTACGAGATGAAAACCGCTCGTGTCAGTATCTCGGCGAAGTAGGGCGTTATCATGAGCAGCATAGCGATCGCGAGCGTGAAGCTGACGAAGGTGCACCAGAACGACCATTCGTACTCGAGAACGTAAAACATCCCGGCTACATCGAAGTAAGGGAAATGCCCCGAAAAGAGAGAGAGAGAGAGAAAGAGAAAGAGAGAAAAGCTGAATTACAAGTGAGAATATTCGCACATTTCCACCGCGATCCATTTCGCGACAGAACGGACAGAGCGGGGATCTCGCCCCCGGATCTAATTCGGGACGGCCGCTTCCCGTTACATCATAATCGGCCGTTTTACGTCGACGAGAGAGAGCGGCCGGCCCACAGTGTAAACAACGACGCGATCGCGATCATCTGTCGAGCGGAGGGGTAGTAGATCGGCCCCGCCGTCTAGTTGCGCATGCACGCACCGTGTAATCTAAATAGGTCCCGGCGCAGAATAAATACGGGGACACAATTAGGTAAATGCGAGTCTTCCAAGCTGGTTATACCCGTGCCGTGGGAGTTCGCGCCGGCCGAGGGGAGAGACCGGCGACGTCGCGGGCGCGTGTGTGCGCGAGCATACCGCGCGCGGCCGGGCGCATTTTTGCGTTCGTGTTCAGCGAGGGTGGCGAAGGGTAGTTGCGCGGCGTTATGGTGAGAAAGGTGGGAGGCAACGTGAATACGCCATACCGCTTCTGCATGGGGGATTCAGCGGGCGAGGTTTCCACATGAGCGGCCAGCATTGATAGAAGCTACGGGGAGAAACTGACTGTGCGCCTCTCATCCCTTCGCCAAACTCGAACTAACTTCGGAGTAGCGGCTCCCCACCCACAGACGCGCTCTCTATCCCTTCGCTTTTAAGCCTGGCTTTCATTATTTTCCTATAATTCGCAACAGCCCTTCGCGAACACCGCGGCGTGGAGAGGCCACCTCCACGATTCCCCTTCGCACCCTCCGTTCCCGGCACCCTTTTCGCGCCCTGCACTACCCTGCGTGTGCCGCCGAGTCTTCGCCTAGAGAGACCGAGATTGACTAGCGCGAGTGGGGAAAAGAGGGAAAAACCGATGCGAATGACGCGCCTCTTCTTCGATCGGAGCTTCAGCGATCCGCAGACCTTCTAGTCTCGTGAAACGCGTGCAGCTCGGTCTTAACACTAACACGTACCTGGAGCGTAGAGGTATGCGACGCAGCTGCACAGGAATGCTAGTGGTAGGTTGGAGAGCCATTGGAAACATGGGTTCTCGAATTTCCGAATACGCCGGAACGGCGATATGCACATGGCAAGAACGGCGAATATCAAACCTATCAGAACGTCAACTGCAAAAGACAACAGTTGTGAAAGAAAAGCGCCCGCGCACGCCTTTCCGAAGTAAGACTCGATGTGTATAATTAATTAATCGAGACTTTTGATAGTAGCACGCAGAAAATTCTTGCTGAAAAATATAGCAACACAGTGAGCAAAATATCATCAACGCTATTGCAATATTTTGTAACATGTAACATTTTCAACTAGTTCTTGATGTTGTATACAACGTCATTGTTAACAATATTTGATCCAAACGTTAAAAATAATATTTCTATATCATGATTTTTAAATTCACGAATATTATATTATCAGGTAACAATTTATAAACATTTATAAAATATTCTGTCAAAATTGTTATATAAAATCCACATAAAGTCAATTTCAACAAATTGATTTAATGTTTCTTGCTAGGATATTAATAGAATAATTTATTAGACTTATGTTGCGCGACTAAGATATTATGTTAAAGCCAAAATTTATATATGACAGCAATAAACGAGTAGTTTGATAAGATATTTTTGTTTTAATCTGACTATATATACATTTACCACATGTATAAAAAAATATCAGAAAGATAAAAAATAATCTTATATTTTATAAATTAATCCGAATTCGTAAGTAAGAATGTTCTATCAAGTCAAGTCTACGGGAAAAAATGGGATGAAACTCCCCAAAAATGTGTTTCAGGTCATTTTTAAAATTTATGTAGTCAATAAAACTAATGTTCTATAGACTTCGAAAAGGGTTCAAATTAATGCTTGAACATTGTTGAACTTTAATATGAAAATATGAAATCATTCAAGCACTATAGCATCTCAAGCACGCTTTATTTGAAAAAAATTGATATACGCTCGCAAGATAAAATATGATTGCCTTATTGTGATCCATTGCAAAACATATATTAAAAATTTCAATAGGATTTAATACATGGAACTAAAGGTATCCTTTTGTAATAAAAATGTTTTTTTTTTCATTTGTTTAAACAATTATTATTTAACAAATAAAAAATAAACAAATTTTGAAAAATAACGATTTTCCAAATAATTAGTTAAGTAATTCTATTACATAGTCCAAAAAATATAAGTTATATATATATATATATATATATTGTAACATTTCTTACAAAGTATAAAATTGTATGTATTATAGCATATTACACAATAATATTACGCTAATATCTACTTGATATTGTGCGACTATATCAACCTCTAAAAATAAAGCGCGCCAAAAGTTTGATGATGCCGGTGGTAAAAAATTCAATATTTTCATATTAAAGTACAATATTTAAGCATTAATTTGAGCCCTTTTTGAAACCTCTCGCACATCGAGTTCGTCAGCTACGAATTTTCAAAAATAATCAGAAACACGTTTTTAAGGCGTTTCAATCACATTTTCTCATAAATTTGCCATGATAGAACATTTTTCTTTTCGGATTTGGCGCGCAAAAAATTATGGGAAATTACTATGGGAAACTATTTTCCAGAACACAGAGGAAAAAGTAAAATTTTGCAGATATATATAATTACTTCAATATTCCTTAACAAATTTCTCTACTTGAATGGTGTAAATTTTACTTGGATCGAGTAAATATTTTACTTGGATAATTTGAACTTGGATAATTTTTACTTGAAAAATATTTTACTTGATTCAAATAAAAATTTGCTAAGGAGTTACTATTTACTATTTATTGGAATTTACTTGAATTTAACACTTTTTTTCTGTGTAGTAACTATTGTGTAACATATATTACTACTGTGTATGCGCGTCTATAAAAACGGCAAGATGAGTTATTCATTGTGTTTCTGACTATGGTTCGAACAGCAATGTGCAGTTGTAATCGTGGCGTTTTCACTGCTTTCTAAATTTCCCATATTGCCTTGAAAGCGTTTCAACGTTGTAAGTATACTCTAGCAAGAGCAAGACTACTAATAGTGATATTTTTTCGGTTGATAAATGTGTTTATATATATCTTTGAGAAAAATTCTCTGCGTATGGCGTGTAATTACTTGCAGTTCCTGGATCGCCGGTACCCACCGCTATAGTGTAACCGACAAAAGCACCCATTGCACAATCCGGTAATAAACGAACCTTAGTAAGGTATCGAGATTCATGTCCCGTAAAATACAAGAAGATACCTATGAATAAGGTGATCGTGCAAACAAACTTCGAGAACAATTCATCTGAAAAAATGACGAAATATCGGGTGATCGTGTAAATCTTTCCTAGGAGACGCTTAGTACGACCAATAGTCTCTCAGCATTATGATGTTTAAGAATATGCTCAGTCACAAAAAAATTGCAACACTTTCTTTCGATGAATTTTGCAATGCATCTCGTATCCAATAGGAAAATATATTTCCCGAGGATTGCTGAAAAAATAAATTCGTCCGAAGACTAATTCGTACGTTATCAACAGCCATGATTCTATCTCTTCTTGGTTAAACACTTACAAAGCCGATATAAATATAAAAATAATTTACATATTACCATATCGATGCGTAGGATTCTTAAGAGAAAGAAAGGAAGTATAATATTACCGTTGCCACATATATTTCGCTCGGAAACATGAAATTATTTAAACGCGACTCGCTATCTAACACACATCATCACGCTGACGTAAACTTGGTCTTAAAAAACGAAACAGAAACACGAGAACGTACTTAAAACCTTACAACTATTCGGATGGAGCAGAGGGTTGCAACCGTACGAGAAGGTCGGAACGTAAGCCGAAGAGTAATTCCCGTAAGTGGCGACTACAGCATAAACGAATCCTGTACCGGCGAACATACTGTAGATACGTCTCATAATTGAGATCGTAGGAGCAGGTGGTATCTACCAAGAAATATTCTTAATCATACGTCAACCTTTTTTCTATTATAAATTATAATACATATAATTATCTAGGAAGTATATCTAATTCACCAAATGCATGGGTGGAACGGGGATTAACTTTAAAATTTTTATTGGAAACTTCCCTATAGAAAATTATATTTTTGAATTCTATGGAAAAAACTTAGTTTTATTCGAAACATTTTTTGTCAGATGCTTCTATTAACATCTATGCTAATTTCTTAGACGTATATTCCCAAATGAGACGAGCGGTTGACTCCAAAAAATTGTCCATATAGTATCATATCTATCTGACGTTAAAATTATATTAAAATAAATATATCAATGCATAAATATAATACTGTCATAAAATAACGTCATTGATTTTTATTGATAAAAATCAATTAAAAATCAATTTAAAAATCTGCAAAAATTATCAAACTAGTAGAACTATTCTAGAAAAATGATTTATGAGGCGGATAACTCACCCCGTTTGGGAATCGAAAGATTAACAAATATGACAATACGAAATTTCAATTTATAGCGTCATGAAATACTTACGAAATCAAAATTACAACACTCTATTTTGACTTATTCAACTTATTAAATGTTCGAAATGTCCAACATGGATATGTAAACATTTACTTGTCCGAATTAACAAATTATTTCTAACATTTGATAACATTTCGGGAATCGCTAAAGTAATATGCGACGCTTGCGCTTCAGTGACTCTTGAAATGTTGTCAAATGTTAGGGATAATTTGCTAATTTAAACAAATAAATATTTACATGTCCATAGTGGACATTTTAAACATTTAATAAATTGAATAAATCACAACAGAGTGCTGTAATTTTAATTTCGTAAATATTTCATGTAACTGTGAGTCGAAACTTCACACAGTCCTATTTTTTAATAGAAGCATCTGACAAAAAAATGTTTCGGACAAAACTAAATTGTTTTCTTCCGCAAAAGTTAAAAATATAATTTTTTATACGGGTCTCCATTAAGAATATATAAGTTAATTCACACAATAGGGGTTGGGGGGCCAACTTCCATTCTAATTTGAAGCCCCATCAGATCCGTACAACTCAAGATTTAAATCTTTACGATCGATGAAATAGTTTCCGAAATATCGAGTTGTTAAGAGTTATGTAGGCCATCCTGTATGCATGCAAAGACCAATTTAACGAAGATAACGAAAATTGATATAATAATATTGATAATCTTTAGCTATATCGTATTGGAACTGATATTGCACACATAGATCATAAATTTGTTCGTTTTAGCCTAGCCAGACTTTTTATCTTTAGAGTGAAACAAATGTATAATTTAGCGTTGAATAGAAACGAACAAAGCTCAGCATTAGTTCTAAAACAATCAGGTCTTATATAACACAAACAAATGAGATACCTCGGTGCCATTTTGCACGATATCTTGCACCGTCAGCATACTCGCAATCGCGTCAAAGTACGTTTCCAGTTTGAAGTCCGACATGGGCAGGAGAAAACGGTACATACTGTGTTGCACCGGGCTTTTCTCGCAAGGAATCGGTAGGCCGTTAGTGGCGAACGCCGCGGCCGGTTGCGCATCGACTATTATCATTTCATTCTCTATACGCAGCTTTTGATAGGGCGCAATTTCGATCTCAAATTCCATGTTACATCCGCCCGGTATCGGCGCTGTGGAAACAACAATCGGGCCAATGCGCAACGCTGGATCTCTCTCTCGATACTCTACTAATTTTGCCATTACGCCCGCCGTCGAAAACAGTCGGCTATTCATCCCATTTACGCACGACGGATAATAGAGATTCGTCGCAAATTAATCGAACACGCATCTTGGTACGATTCGCGATTTATTCGCACGCCACCGCGCACGATCAATGTGACATGGCTATTTAATTTAACATAACACATGATTTTTCGGCCTTTATCGCACAAATAACGTTGCTTTGTCTATATAATAGCCATTAATTTTATATTATTTTAATTGGCGAACGTTGTACCAAAAAGCGTCAGATTTAATTCGATCAAATATACGTCGGCTGAAGAGAAAAGTGTAACAGAGAAAGGCGATATTTGTTATCAATTAATATTATTTGTACTTACCTTCTGAACCGTACGGTACGATCACGATCAATGCATTGAGATCATGTACGTTATCGTGTTTTAGGAATACCTGCAACGGACCTGTTACATTGCGTGTTTTCATGTACAGACCAATGTTTGACCCGAACAAACTCCCTTTCGACACTTTACCGAGCAGCGTTTTGTCGTATGCTAACGTAGCATTGTATTGGTAGGTATGAATTTGCAACACAATGAACGAAAATTTTGGTGGTACGTCCGTCACAGTGATCGTTACATCACTAGACGGAGGTAAAATTAGTCGTTTCTTGAATATGTCATTCTCTCGATAATTCAGCAAAGATGCTGTTATTGTGGCATCATCTGCAATATAATATACCTAATGTTTATATGTTAGTAAAAAAGTTTCTTACTATTTAAAATTTACACTAAATATTTCAATAAAGTATTTCAGTAGGAAAAAATGTGGCTCAAAGGCCCCTCATTTACATTTTGTACGATAAATTTGTTAATAATCAATATTTTTAATTGAAAACTTAACGATTACATTCGTCAAAGTGTCGTTCGTTCAATTCTAAACTCAAAGTTATGAAATATTTATCACTCAACACGTTATTTATAAAAATGTGGAGACACTGCGTAGTAAGTCGAGGAGGAGCAGGGGTGGTAATGTAGTCTTCCAAAAAAATAAATTAAAAAAATTGCTTTTATTTAAAAAAAGTGTTCTGTTAGAAACTTATATATTTCAAAATAAACTCTCTTAGAAGAAGCAACAATGAATACAACAATAAATTTTTAATGTAAATGTTGATTTACTTGACAGAAGGACAGTTTGTAAACTGTCAAAAGGACAATTTTCTACAAAACAAATAGACTTTTCAATTTAACTTGAATTATCAACTTATCGAATAGATATTTCGACGTGAAAACTTTGAAAAAGGGACCATATAAAATCTATTTTAGTGGGGAACCAGATTAGCAAAATGCCATGTTATTGTTTAACTGTACATAAATCGAAATGTGTACAGTGAAATGAAATGTTAAATAACGAACAAAACAAATCAAGTATTCGTGTGATAATACGTCCGGATTTAATAAGAATGAAGAAGTATATATAATTAAATACTAAAATGTGTTTTGAAAATGTTTTGAAATGATCAAGAATAAAAATGCGTTACTACAAATGCCGGCTGTGTATTGGCATATTAGCGCTACTGCATGACGGCGGGCTGCTAAACAAATGATTTCATAAGTAATCGCTGAGATTCGTCATTTAATAGCGAAAAGATATAAGTTGAGCCATAATACTTACAAGGACTATAATACTACTTTCTTTTCTGTTATTTTGTACCTTGCAGAGATAAACAAACGGAATCAACAAACAAACCACACACACAGAATCATTTAATATTGATTAATTCCATAATTATTTTCAATCGAGGCATAATAAGTGAATTTTAAACAATGATATTGCGTTTTTAAACGCAACATATATCCATAGAAAAAAGAAGCCCAGCAGCACAATTCATCATATACATTGGTCTAATATTGTTGTATTGGCATTCATTGGGAATATATTGAATGAATGTTGCCCAATATAAAGTCAATCAGACCTGCAGAAACAGATTTTGCACAAATCTGCTATAAATTTTGTCAATAGTTTATTGGCAGAAGTATAACAGGATTCCTTAGATCCTGACAATATATTAATCTCTTATTATGCTGACAAATCCTGTTAGATTTCTGCTAGCAAGCTGTTGAGAAATTTATAGCAGACACTACGTAAAACCTGTTTTTACAGGTTTGCTTGTCTGGCTGACTTTATATTGGGCAACATTCGTTCAATGTACCTCCAACGAATGCCCATATAACCAATATTAGACTAATGTATCGCCAATGCATTGTGCTATTAGGGAAGCCTAAAGAACCGTCTTCATTGGAAGTAAGCAGTAACAAGTAAAAGGTGTCTACATTGGAAATAAGTAGTATTAAGTACGGAGTAGAATATTAATTGGTAGTATGTCAGCAGGGAGTAAGAAATGGTCCATTTCGCTTACTTCCGATGTCACGCTTTATTCCACCGAAGAACTCCCTTACTCCCTCCATATTACTACTTCCAATGCAGACGGACCCTTAAGACTTAAGAAAAAAAAGAAATAGACGCATCTTGTTGAACAGCTATTGTACGTAGCGGAAGTATATATTTAGATCGAAAAAAAAGGAAAATCAGGTCTCCCTTCTTTCGAAAAGCTAATCGACCGAATCGCTACGTACGATCGACACATCGTGCGTAGGTATGTACGCCAAGATATTGTTTATACAAGCCGTTCGTTGAGGCTCGTCGGATATTGAGGTTATGTACGCTCACCGTGTTTGACGGTCGCATTTTCCGACGTAACTGTCGTCGCGTTACCTAGTACCAACGGCAAGGCCAATAGAAGCGTGACGGCCGCTCGTTTCATGCTGTGGCACGTGTCCGCAGGAAAAAGAAAGGAGAGGAAGATGTACTTGGCTCGCTCGGGACGGCCGCCTAAGCGTAGAGCCGATGGCAGATCAGTACTGATCAGTACGGCGTGCAACAGCTGTCACTTGACACTCCGCTACTCGTTGTAACGGCGGTACGCGGCTCGCGCCGTCTCGCTCTCTCCATTCATGCGCCTTGCCGGAATCGCCATATTGCCGTCTCGCTCGTGCCTACGTTCACACGGGAAGCACGCAGTCTGGCGAGGCGGCCGCGCGGTGGCGCGTCAGTCCGCCCAAGATGGCCACGCTGGATCAATGAAACGCGAGTAATCGTAGTGAAAACACAAATTGACAAGTGTGCGGGCGAACATCGCGGCTTGATCGCGGTGTAAATGGACCATGGGCAAGGACCAGGAGCTGCTCGAAGCAGCGAGAAGCGGCAACGTCACTGTGGTCGAGAAGATCCTCGGTCAGCGAGCCAAAAGGAGTGGTCCACTGGCAAGGTGGGTGTCACCGTAGCGAGTCTGACACTTTTGCTCGCCTTTCCTCTTTGCATCGGGGCCGTTTCCTCGTTCCCGGCTCCGTTCGTCGGCGCGGCTTCGACGAATCCTTCTTCCACCGAGGCTGACGTCTCGGGGCCGGAGTCGTCGGGCACGGCCGTCTCTCGCGCATTCGATTATCGAACCGTCGCTGCATGTCGTTCGTCCGTGCTCGGACGTGCTTCGACGTGTTTCGACGTGCTCCGATTCGCGTCTCGCCGATAAGGTTCACCGCGAGGATCCCCTTCGGCCCACGTACGGTTTGTCCGGTTTCGCAATTCTCTCCGCGGCGAAACGGCTCGCCGCGAGAGATCGAGGTTAAACGGACCCCGCTGTGTGTGTGTGAATGAGCGCCGTGTCGTCTCGTCCTTTTCCTTCCTATTGTCACGACGCTTCTTACGATAATCCGGTCATGCTCGATCGAACGTGCACCGACGTGTCGTCGTTCGATTAATCTCCGCGTCCGTTGCGACTGACCGCTCTCTCGCACCAGGATTTCCGCCGTTAATTCTACCGTTAATTATACGAATCATTGCACGTTTCCACCTTTAAGCTCGGTTCGCGGCCGCGTTATTGAGAGTTACTTCTGCTCCGATTTCGCGCAACGACGTTTTCTACCGTTACGCTTATTACGTCTAATGTATGTAAGTAAATTTATTATACGCCCGGCTCGAACGGGATCTCTTCGTTTAATCGACCGGATTACACTTTAATTACTGTCATTAAATTAATTGGAGGCAAAAACGAACGATACGGAGCGTTGCGCCCTGTTATTAGTAGCGCATATTCTCACGCTGCCGGCTGCTGCGTTGTTAGTCTTGCGTATCAACTATTCGTGATTTCATCATGACCATGAATCACACACACACACACGCGCGCGTACCGATGATGCTGCACGAAGATACGTTGATACCGAGCAAGGACTATGTGCCGCCGCCAATCATCTAAATAATACATATCTAACGCATTTCCTCTTGCAACGTGAAACAACTAGTAACGGTTCTCGCAGTGTTCTACGCGCGACACCGAAGACTCGTGTCGTCCGCGCGGAGATACGAGAGCAACGGGCAAAAGAAAAATTGAAAATATCCCAAGAGACAGTCGTCATGTAAATATTCTCACCTCGAGCGGGGAAAGAAACGCTGCTTTCCAATTCGCTCGAGTCGAGTCGCTCTGTTTACTATTTATGGCAGCCGACGGGAGGGTTCCATCGGGCGGGAGACTATTTATTTTGAAGGGTCAGCGATAACACAGGCGCTCGGTCGCTAGACAGACCAGGCTTTACGAAGGAACGTGGTGAGCCCCGCGCGATCGGCTTCCGCTTTACCTTTCCGCACGACGGAGACACAATTAAATCCTTCGCGAATGAATTAACTCTAATTACACGCGTTTCGCGAGTGCGTATATTACCGTGGGAATGCCCGGTAATTTCGCGTTTATTCGCGAGAACGCGTTAACGAATAATCGGATAGGCGCGAGCGAACGAGCGAGAGCGCGCGCGCGCGCGCACGTTGAGAGCTCGACGGAAAAGTTCCGCGCGGAAATAAATTAACGACCGGTGTATACGCGATGTCGTCATTATCGCCGGAATCGGGATAAAACAATCGTTCATTCATTTATCGAGCCCCGTACGAGTGTACGGGATACACGCATCGATTCGCACGATACTAAAGGCTCGTTTGTGCCGCGCGATTTTTGTCACGATACTGAAGGCTCGTTTGTGCCGCGCGATTTTCGTCACGGTGTCGCTGAATCCAACGTCAACGGCGTAATTGACGGCTCTTAATCCCGCTCGGGCCAAATATATCGCGATGTAGGAGTTTAATTGATATATCGTATCTCGACGGTAGATAAAACATTCCCAATTTTATCATCGCAACAGCCGACGAATAAAACGGAACATGTTTGATCTTAAAAACCGAAGATCACGCGTATGGTTAATCACAAAAAGGTCGTGAGACATTGTTCTTGATCAATTTCGGAATGCATTCCGTGTCCAACAGGAGAATTTGTTTTTTGGTATTAGGAATGTCTATAATGTCGTTTTCTTCAGATTGAATAAACACTGCCACCTTGTCCGTGGACATGATTTATTATTATATAACGTCGCTAATTCGTCATTAGATTTTAATTACAGAACACGTAGTGTAACTTTCTTGTAGAATTTAGATTGTAATGCATTAGTTATGTATTTTCCTTATTTTTATGATTTTCAAAATTTAATTGTTTCTCCTTGCCAAAATTGAAGGATAAGCCTTCCCTGCCCCTTCCGCTCTTTGGTATATACCTATATATTAATTAAATTTATTGACACTTAGTGTGCTTATAAAATCTTGAAAGGACTAAATGTTAAATGAAACAAAATTTTGCATAAGTATCAAAAAACGACATTATATTATGGGTACCCATAATAATTCTCAGAGAGATATTTTTTTTCACTCGATACGAGATGCGTCGCAATCTCTTTGTGTCTGACACATATTGCATCTATATACATATTTACCGTTAACTTACGAAATCTAAGTGCAATATCTCTTTATGACTCGATACACGACGATGCCGTCTATCTAAAAGTTACATCGTGTAAGACAGACTTGATACTTGACCGTCGCGGTTAAACGGACGATTAGTCAATGGCCGTATAGCGTAAGTTGATCGAACTCGAAGACGCGAGTCCGAATGAATTTATTATCGCGCTGTGTCCTCGCTTTATTCAATTAAAAACCGCGATCGCCGATCGCGCCGTTCTGAGCGAGCGATGCTCGCGCGTAATTAGTGAAATACCGTCACCGTCGACTCCGCGCTCTTTATTGACCCAGTGCCGCGAACTGCTCGACAAAGACGGACTTGTCGACGCGCTCCTTACCCTCTCATTAATTAAGTCATGCTGCGACGACGGCACAAGAAGCTCACGGCTTGTTTTTCGAGGGACTCGTGCGTACGCTCGTGCGTGCACGTGCTACGAGCGCGCATTCACGCATTTTAAGAGCGATTGCCGCGCGACTCTAAGTGCAAAGAGGCGATGAGAGCGCGAGGGAGAAAGGGGGAAAAAACTGTTTATTATTCCGGGACGAGCACCGTTAGAATGAGTATCACGATAAAGGCGATATTGATAAAAATATATTACTTTCAATCCTGTTATTATGTATTTACCTTGGGCGATATATGTGCGTTAGCTCAAAGAAAAACGGCGAATTATGAACGAAAATAGTAAACGAAATTTCAACCTAGCATTAGTTCGATCTCATTTTGGATGGAACATTTGAAATTGAATTGTGGAAATTGAATTATTTAACGTCGAAGGTATTCATCATGGGCATAACTAAAGAGCGGAGGAGGCAGGGAACGCTTGTCCTTCAATTTTGGCAAGGAGAAACAATTAAATTTTGAAAATCATAAAAATAAGGAAAATACATAACTAATACATTACAATCTAAATTCTACAAGAAATTTACACCACGTGTTCTGTAATTAAAATCTAATGACGAATTAGCGACGTTTTATGAAAATGAACGTAATGAAAATTTCTCACTTTCATTATCAAATGTTCCTTGGTCTAACGACGCAACGAGCATCATTGAAAAGTCTTTTAGTACATTGGGAGGGAAAGCCTGGTTGCGGTCAACAATGTCAGAAAGTCGTCTTTGTGGACTATGTATGTTAAATGTACACAGAAAAATGATGTTCGCGTAAAGAAAGAAATTGGAATATTAAAAAGTTTACTAAAGATCTACGAAAAGTGCATAGGACAAAATTTTATGTTAAATTTAACACATTTCACACGTCTCAAACGGTTCATTCAAATTTCTGTGTTAACGCAATATGTATGTGTTGAAAAGTAAACACAAATAATACGTCAAAAATTAACACAAAATTAATAACGAATCGACACTGAAGTATAAAGTATGTTACTTTAACACTCACATGTTGAATATTGACACAACGCAAAATGTTGAGATGACATAAACAAAATATGTTAAATTAACACACGGGTATGTTGAAAACTTAACCAAAACTTTAACAAGGACCGGCCGGTCCACGAGGACCGACTTTAACACAAGTATAAAATATTGTTTACTTTGTGGCTTTAATGCAAATATGTTAATAAGTTTTATCTGTGAAAAAAAATTTTTGTCTTCCTCTCCCCGATTGAAATCCTGACTACGCCCATTCCTGTCACAAAATCTTCACCACACAAGTCGATAGTTTGAGGAAAGTGCAACACACATCACGTAATAAGCCGTAATACACTAAACACTTTTCCAAGAAAAGTATATCAAGTAAAAAGTACGCATTTACGTGAACGAGACATCGTATACATGCACGAGGTACACGTGTGCAGAGGGGAAGAGAGAGATCCGCAGTTTCCCTCTGTCGCACTCTCTTGAGGGCTGCGAGACGGCGGCAATTCGTTGTCGGTGGTTTCTAAATGTATCATGACGAACGCCCAGCTCTTCTAACGAATTGCCTCTCGTGCCTGTCGTCGACGCCGCGCAACTTGTCCATAACTACAAAGCCTGCCCGCGGCAAGTTCTCCCGAAGCTGCGCGATCTCCTCTCCGCGCCGCGACCTCTTCACCATCCGACGTGCGCGCTTGCCTTTTTGCCCTTCCCGTCGAGATCACAGAAAAGCAATATAAAACGCGACCGCTCTGTGAAAGAGAGAGAGAGAGAGAGAGCATCGCAGAACCCCTCGGCGCTAGCCGGGAGGGAGCCGAGAATATTTTGCGATGCTAATCGCGAAGTGGACGTGCCACTTTTCGTGTACGAGCGCCCACGAATGTGTTTATCCTTTGTTCGCCGCTCACTGTTGACTTTGCGTCGGTGCGATAATTTTAATCACGGTTCTCGCGCGACCGAAGCGCGCGAAACTCGAGAAATTTTACGGATGCGAATTTTGCGAAACCGGCACCCGATGCAAAAGCGAATCGACAGCTCTCTTGACGGTGTAAATTGCACTATAAC